TAACTGATTGCAGACAGTAGTAATAACTAAGGATAAAATAGTGTCCAACTTCCATAAGTATCCATCTTTGGATTTAAAGATGAATGACCAGTTAGGATTTTGCATTAATAACCTTAGAGATGCTGATTCCTATTAGGTTACTCATACAGAAAATTTCAAAGTAATTTAGTTTCCCTCTCTGTCCCAAACTCTGTGGAATCAAGATCACTCAGGCTCATCACACAGTTGTACAATTTTCCTTGATGAAAGGATGAATAGGCCATAGGATCCCAATACTTCAAAGTTCAGTTTCTGACTCTTGAAAATACTAAACAGTAATTACTTGGCCTTGAGGACTTCTATGAATAAATGTAGGTTTCCAGATTGATTACAATCTTTTTTGTCATTGCAGTTGAAATAAAAAAATGGCATCTTGAAAAACAACAAAAAAAAAGAGGTCTTCAAGCAGCATCCCAATCATTTTAATCAGATTGCAATCATTTGACCACTTCAATTATAATTATTAAATGAATTAAGAAGCACACAGGGGTCATGTAGGGCAGGACTCATTTGTTTTCAATGAGTTTTCAAAGCTTTAGTTTGTGATCTTACTTCATTTGCCCTTCAGGCTCGTTATCTCACTTCTAGTTGCCAAACCACCTTCTGCTTTGCGGATTGCCCCATTTGGGGTTGTGTTCCCTGTTTTGAGAACTACTGCCTTAATGTTTGCACATAATACTATATCAAGGGATCTTTGATGAAAAAGAAACCATAAATGTTTACCTTTGGGGTTTACCGAGGCAGACAGAAAACACTTTTAGCACTCAAGTATTTCTTGAGCCATGAAGCACATGGTAGATGAGTCTCTTGTCTTTGAAAAGTCTTTAGGGCTACAATAAGTGTCCAGTATGTTTGCATAAGAAATCACCCACAGTTCAGTTTTCTTTTCATTTCAACAACTTCATAACAATTATTCTATTGCGCCATTTGTCTCTTTTTAGTGTATGGACTGTGATTCTTCTGGCCATCAGTGAATAGTTACTTTATCTTAATCAAACAGAAGTTTCAGAGGCAAAAGTATTTGGAGTCCCCTTACCCCAGGCAAGCCTCAGCACATATTTGCTGTTCTGAGCCTACATTTTGTCATTTACCTCTATGAAGTAGCGTTGGGGTAGCTTTGCACCAAGTAAGATTATTTTTAATTAATACAGTTCTATAACCAAGATATATTAGTATTGCTTTCATATTTTAAAGCTTTCTGTGGCTTCCTATGTCCATTCAAACATGCTTTTTTTTGGATGATCACTGTTCCTTTTTATTCTTTATGAAAAGTAACAAATGTATTACTGAAGCCTACAGACCAAGATTTTATTACTGTAATCTTTGCAAGCTACTGAATTTCAACTCCTATGATAGGAAATGCTGCTTATATTTTCTTTATGTGAGCTATTTTTTGTAATTCAGTCATAAGAAATTATTATTTTAAAAGGAATAAGAGCAGTAAGTAAATACCATATTTTTAAAACATTACTATCATATTTAAGCATAAACCCATTAACTACCTAGGGTATGTTTAAATATAATTATCCACATGTGTGAGATTAAGACCCAAGTTCATTAATACTCCATTGCTCAGAGCATGGAAAACAAATTACTACCAAATGCAGCTGAGGTTTCCTCCCAAATCTTGTAGTTCAAATGATATAAACCAATGCTTTTAAGATTAATATATTTCCACACCTGTATGGTAAAAATGATTTGATACTACCTTTCATATTCTTTGGCTTCTCAGCAGTTCTTAAGACTCCTTTAAAGTAAAATTTTGTTTATTTAACAATAACTTGGCTTCTTTTTATAGGCTTTCCTCCTAATGTTCAGAATTTGCTATTCTGCATTACACCCTAATAGACTGTCATTAATATAAAGATTCTTATTCTAATACAGAATAATTCCATAGTATTCATTGCTGTTTTCAAGGTGAACTACTCAATAAATCAAAGCAGTTAGAATTTTACTAACATTTTCACCAACATATGCCAGTAGCATCTTCCATAAAAAATGGATTTTTCCCCCTATTTTTAATTCACCTTATTTTTCAGCTATTTTCTTCAACTGATCTGCAAAATCCTAAAAAACTAACTCCATAAGTTCAGACTCTGGAATTTACTGATTACTCTTTTCCCCTTTGTATTGCAATGAGTAAACTATTTCTACTATTCTGGAAGTGTTTTAGAAAAGAAAAAAGTAAAATTATTTTCACAACTGAAATTATAAATTAACAGTGTTTTCAGGATGTAAAATAGAGCTGTTATGAAGAGGATCCAATCTTAGTAGCAATATCAGTAATTTGATATTCCATGCATGATGTTTACAAGAGAAACGACTATTTGTGTACCAGCTTATGTGTTCAAGTTTGAACAATTGGAAGGTACAAAGCAGGTTATTTGTAAGACACATTAAAGCCTTTTCCTTTCATTCTCCTAATTTTCTTCTTATTTTATTAAATGTTCATTAAAATACTTGACATCTCTTTCTGAATACCAAATAAACACTGCATTTACGAAGTGAAAATAAATATTCATAATTTTTCCTAGGGCTTCACAGCTCCTTCAATGCCATCAAAAACATACTCCTCTGTTCCAAAAGCGTTTCATTTCCTGTTCCAAAAGATTAAAAAATTTATATGTTTTTTTTTACATTTTTTTATGTTATATAAAATATTTCAACAAATTTGCTTTTCTAATGCAGAATCTGAAAGACTGCCCCCATATTCTTTAATACCAAGACACCATCACACCCACCTAATCGTATAACTCTCTTAAATGTAACATAATTTCACTTCAGTATTATCATGGTCACGTGCTTCAATAAATTTCTCATCCCTTACATTTTATCCCTGTTTTGGAGTTAGTAAATCTGTATCTATCAACTGTGTATGTCTGGTAGTGAGGATATAAAACTGTCAGTTAGAGGTAAGCTCCATGAAGTAATTATCTGTCATCACTCTTTTCCTGAACTAAACTATAGCTTTCCAGGACTTCTGAAGAGCAGACAGTGAAAGAAGATATTGCAAAAATAGACTGAGTAACCTGCATTACAGCATCAGGTGCTTTTTGTGTTTCCACTTCTCCTGGACTGCCCATTATGCCTGTATGAAATTTACCTTTCCATCCTTGAGCACGGAATTCACCTATTAATGGGTTGCACTAAAATTAAAATACCTTGGTGACTCTCAAATCATGCTCTGGACTTCAAAAAAAAAAAAAAAAAGCCAAACCTGTTTTAAAGATATCTTTTACCTTTTCATGTAACAAACTGCTTTTGTTCAGTGTCTCTCAGTCTCACCAAGACCAATAATAAAGTTTGGGTTATGTCATTTCTAGATTCATATGTCAAATCTTTCCATAAGTTTTCACTAGAAACAAGTATGTTCTTTGTAGATCTGCAGCCAAAAGAAAACTTGATACATATATCACACATATACAAATATAATTTCAAACCACTGACAAGCAGGAACTCAAGACTTTGTCCCTGTCTTTGTGAGCAGGGTGTGTATTAATGCCATTTTAAAATAAGATAGATAACTAGAAGTAGTTTACTTACTTTGCAAAGTGTTTTATTCCATTTAATATTTTTTCCATGCTAATAAATGATGGCTCTGCCTGCAGTCATCTTAGATAATGATTCTAGCATTTTATTTTTTAAAAAGTGGAGGCAGCAGTCTGCTGCAATTCTTTTACCACCAAGGACCAGGAACTTCCATTCAGATGTCTTACTGCTCTTCTACATGCTAGTTAATGTAAAATGTTTTGGTGCCATGGTCATAAAAATCCACTGAAGATTATAAAAGTTGTCCTTTTTTCCAGTCAGCTTTACTAATCAGTGCTATCCACATATGTCCATTTGATCCACTTAAATACTCAATGAATTTTAAAAGGAAAAAATTATAGTTACACTAAAGTAATATTTGCAATGTTACTTTTTACCATGCTAAGGTGTCTCAGAGCTGTTTCCAACAGTTATTCAAATTGTTTTTACTAAAGGAAGCCAGTTCACCCCGGAAAAAAAAGGGGGTTTGATAGCACCAGAAAGAAGACTGAAACTAATTGTATTCCCCTGTATGTTTTACAAATGAGAGACAAACTAACATCATATAATAGCAATATTCATATTCTGTTGGCATCAGAAGTCTATAAAAGCATAAACTGATAGTTATTGATACTCACAGCTCTTAATAAAGCCCAGAATTTGAAGGGATAATCAAGGTTTTGGTATACTAGAAAAAGATACAAAACTATAGCCATATTTAATCACTTACATATAAATACCTAATTCAACAAAAAAAAAAATCAGTTAAGATTACATTTATTCTTCTGTGTTAAGATTTCATTTGAATATCTAACTTACTATTTTCATTGCTAACTGAGTTAAGAATCTGCATAACTATATCTGCACTGGAGGCAAGGCAGCCCATTCTTCTGGCTGAAATAACATGTATCCCAGGCAAAATGGTTTATTTTAAATAGCTTTTCTGAGTACAAAGGATGCTGGAGCGGGAACCCTTTTTGCCTCCACCTGAGGCAATTTACTACTATTACAGAGACAGACACTGTCTCAACACCTATATGCTGTGCCCTTCCTGTCCCCTGAATACCAAACACTGTTTTGATGAGGGATGTAAAATACGGCAGAATCACTGACTGAATGAACTTTTACTATTTTTTTACCTTTATAATGCTGCACAAAGCAAGTTTCAAAGCAGAAAAGCAAAAAGGGTCCTCATGTCTTCATTTGCTTCTAAAAAATGCTTACCATTTATTCCTCCCAAATCAAAAAGCTTACATTTTTGCCTATAACTACAGGCTTGTCTGAATTTTGAACAAGAACAGGCAAGAATCTTCAAAAAAATCCTTTTCAAGTCATATTTATTTCCCTTTGATTTTGTTTTAAATGAAGATTCCATCATTAATCATATAAATGGCAAAAGAAGATAATTTGCACATAGAAAAATAATTACATACCTTATACTGGATAAGGAGACCGTAAACTAAAATGTTTTTCTTTTTAGTTTCCCTTGCAAATTTCTTGATGCTTGTTAGTTCTTCCATCCCAATGCTGAAAGAGTTATTTCCTGATATATCCAGGTATACCTGCAAAGGAACAAGTAAGGAAAGAAAAAAATCCACTTTTTCAATAGTGTGCCATTCTAGACCATCAATTTTTGTTTATATTTTAGTTTTATGTTAAGCACACATAAAAATACAAATGTTTTTCTTAGCTAGCTTCTGTTACTATTGAACTCCACTGCTTATACATTTAGTGACATGAAAATTATTTCTTTTCAAAAGACAATGAAACCAGAACACATCAGAACACAATGTAATAACTGCATCTTAAAAATATTCAATTAAATCAGAAAACAAACAGCATTCTTCTCTAAGTTCTATTCTAGCTTTCACAGTTGATTTTTTTTTACTATCAGGGTACAGGTGTTTTTCTTAAGCATCTTCAAGCTTTTCAAGACAGAATTGCATTCTTTAAAGTTTTATTTTGAATTTACTATCCTTTCAGTATAGCATACTAGTTGCCTAAATTCGATTAATTTCAAGATAATGCTTCAAGTTTAAAAAGCAGAAGCTACTTCAAAAGAAGATAGGGATATGACTATCCTGAGCTCCTGGTCAGGGAAAGGCAGGTCTAATATCCATCAGGGATCCTGCACAAACATGGTGGTTCTTAACTAGTGGATCTCAACTAGTATTTCCTGGGAGGTTATCAACTACTTCAAGCCTTTCCCAAGGCGTATGTATTCCACAGTTTAACCAATTTACTTTACAAAGCTTCTATTAACTGTAGAAATCAAATTAAGGATGATATAAAATTTCAGCATCTACTAATAGCAGAAGTACCTCTCCCCCTGAAAGAAAAACATTTTTCTGGTTGAATGATTCTATCGTTCTAAAATTTATCTGTAACTACTAGAGGTTGTCCCAGAGATCAGTGCTTGGAAAAATTATTTCAAGTTCTCTTCGTACCTTATGTTCAATTTATCCTGACAGAAAATAGGTCTTCACTCATTTTTCCTAGCAACGCTTTCAAAAAAAGCTGTTTATTGTCGAAGTGCATACTCATCAGAAGCAAAGCTATAGTCTTCTACTCTACAGGCAGAAATTAATTTTCACATACTCGCTGTTTTGTTATTTTTTACCCAAAACAAAGCTAAGTACTGCTCATATACAGCTATTTAAAAGAAATTATAAAACTTATTATTTTAAGAGAATTCAACCTATCTCCTCTCTACCATTAACCTGTTTCACAGTTATAAAAACAGATTTTTCTCAAACTTGCTATTGTACTGAAATGCAAAGTATTCCAACTAGAGAGCTGAAGAACCAGCCTTCCTTTCTTTCTAACCCTAACTTATAGCTACAAAAGAAAAATCATAGCCATTCATTGCATCTGCAAGCATGAACAGGTATTGCTCAAAAGAGTAATGTCAGTTTAAGAATATGATTAATTTGGTTATAATAGAGCTGGAGAGGACACTGGCTTGATGCAAACACATAATTGCATGAAATAACCTTCTGGGCTTCCTATTTCTCCTGTAATATTAATCTTTCCTTTTGTCCAAATACAATTGTACAATTGCTGCTTCAGCTTACAGATGCCTCAAAATAATCCAGTCAGGTACCAAGATAAAGGATAGACTTTGAAATCTATGGCAATTGACGGGCAGAAATATGGATAGAAGTCATCATGTCCAGTGCAAGCTCATCCTTTTACTGGGACAAGGTTCCCCAGGCCGGTTAAACAGACAATCTGGCACAATAATAACACCTTTCATTTTTACAACTAAAGAAGCTGACTATTGGAAGGAAAAGTAAATTTTTTTCTCTTAATTACCAGATTGTTATGAAAAAGTTACTTGTGTCGTGAAATCAAAGAACAGACGAGAACTTTCTAGTTACACACAAGTCTACATTAGACTGTTCCTAATTAGGAGTTTAGAATGGAAGCAGTTAGCTGCTCTCCTCATTTATGCTTTCAATTCTTCCCTACCAGAAAGAATTTTACTTTTGAGAGTAGAACTGCATAATCTTTCCCTTCCAGCCAGTACCTATGTATTTAAACGTCACTGTATTGCTTAAAATTTTGACTCACATTTGTCTGAGAACTATTAATATGCCCTTTTACACCAAAAGAAGGTGTCTTATATGACTTTTCATGAACAATTCTTTCAGGCTACATGTTAAACAAAGTATACGGGAAAGAATAAAGCAGAGGAAAATCTCACTCATGGGACTCAGTGAAGAGGACACCCAAGGCTTTAATTAAAAACTGCTGAAGGAAATTTTTGTCCCCCATACCATCTGTAATGAGGTTTAGGGATCAGAAGTTTAAAGGACATCAATGCTTCCCAGTGATTAATATGAGATAATGATTTGTTTAACTAATTATTTAGTAATTTAAAACAGAACTTCCAGGTTTCCTATTTATTCCTTCTTGTATTTCTAGAAGACAGTGGGGTACTTCCATCAAATGAAAGTGTAGCACCACTTTGCAGTTAGAGTATGTCATTTTAAAATGATACTTTTAACGAATATATATGTCTCTATGTTTTAAATGTTAGCAACTGTTTCCACCTCATTATGAGAGTTTTATCTGCTGTCTAGTTCTGGGATATTTCAAGTAGTTGCTGGATCTGGGGTGCAAGAAGCAGATTAAATGTATAATTTTCTCCTAAGGCTATTTTTGAAGGAGTTCACCTGAACAATTTGTGCACGCAGCAGGCTGCTCAAGCAAGTGCACTTTCATTAAAAATAGCGCTGAAGATCTAGTATCTCAGGGGCAAACCCCAAGTTTCACAGTGAAGCATTACTTGCATTCATACCTGTTCCTTAGGAGATATTAAGACCAGAATATTTATAGCTACAATATTAAGTTCTTACATTCTGTGTGTCACACTAAAAACCATATTTATTCAAAGTCCTGAACAGAAAGTAGCTACAAACTGGGCACAAAATAACCATGCTTTTATCGCCTTAGCTGGTTGATGAACAACTCCAACTTTATCTGTACACACCCAAAATTTAACATAGACAGAAATGTTTTTTATAATCTTGATATAAAAGACTAATGAAAACATTCTCAGTCCAGAAAAGAGCATCCAGTAGCCTTGTAAATGGGCAACAGCATGGAAGGCATGTAATTTCCTCACAGAAGGGGTAGTCAAGCATTGGAAGAGGTTGCCAAGGAAAATGGCTGAGTCACCAACCCTGGAGGTATTTAAACGATGTGTAGATGTGGCACTCGGGGACATCGTTTAGTGCTGGACTTGGCAGTGCTGGGTTAATAGTTGGACTTGATGATCTTAGAAGTCTTTTCCAAACCAATTCTGTGATTCTACACAAGTTTTTTCCCTAGTAAAAGTAATTAATCTTCACGATATCTCATTTAGTTGCTAGATCAGTAACGAAATTTCATCATTTAAATTTCAGCTAATATTCCAAAGTAAATGCTCAGTTTTACCCCCAGGTCACTTGACTGTGGACTTTAGAAACTATTCAGGACCCATGAAAAATATTCCTTTTTCAAGAGCTTCATATATGGAATTATACTTTAAAATCACAACATATTATCTTGTGTAATCACTGGAGAGTATAATAAATGAAGTCCAGAGGTACACTCTTTATGATAGACAGCATTACTGATTCTCATTTCACCCAATACTTCTCATTCCTACCTATTAAGCCAGAAAACATGACAGAATTAATAAGAGCTGGTTACACTGCACGGAGATTTTGAAATCTGCTTATATTTTCTCCTTTTTAACAGTCTGAATAAAATAAAAATCATGTACACTTCAGCTGTCATTTGAACTGGTAAATTATTCTGGCATTAATTTCAAATAATAAGATTCATTATTATTCTGGCATTAATTTCAAACAATGAAAAATTCAGCCAAAAGTACACTTTAAAACTTCTACCATATACCAGATATAGACTTATCAGTCTTATAACACCTCAGTAAGTAAAGTATGTATTAGTTATATTGCAAAGTTATTTTTAAGACAGAGACCAGAAAAGCAACAAGAATTTTAAACTTGGAATAAACTACATAGCATAAAAAAAAAAAAAATAAAGCCACTTAATTCTGTTTCAGCTGAGCATTGAAGCACAATACATGATTTGCAGTATCCCCAGCAGCGACAGAGCCCAACAGCAAGGCAGGAGTTAATAGTTCAGTACAACCAGCCAGCCACAATGAGTCTTTCATAGAAATATACAACTAATAAATTGTCATTTGAGAGTGTCAGTTTATTTCCTGACAGCATGCACTTGTTGAAGTGCAAATTAGGCTCTTCAGAGTCCAACTTACAGTTTGAATTTACAATTTTATTCTGAGCTAGTAGAAGTTTAAACCTAGTCTAAAATTTTAAAAATTTCATGAGATGCTTTCTACAGTAACTTACAGAAGTTACCTACCGAAATAAGGACAACTGGATATAAGAGAGGAATATCTGATTTTTCCAACATATGCACTAATTGCTGGGTTTCTTGAATGGCACACTTTTTATCCTAAATGAAAATAAATGTCTAGAATTATGAAAAACATCAAAAATATATAAAAAATTATCATAAAAACTATGAAAATAGAATTCAAAGATCTGTCATTTACCAAAAAAAAAAAAAAAAAACAACCAAAAAAAACCCAAAACAACCAAAAACTAACACATCACTTTTTTTGCTAGGGATCATTTGAGTTGGTTAGTTGCGTGGTTTTAATATACAAATGTAATGGTACTGTTATAGCTATTTGAAAAAAATGGAGATTAATAATATTACCCTTAAGAAATATCTACATATAAAACAATATTAAGGGTCTTGATTGGTCTTAGATATAGTTCACCTATGGTTCATGGGAACCTTTCTGTTCCCATACCGTGACACAAATACAGATTGCATGGCACGCATATATCCACAATGGGAAACACTAATTTAGACCATGGTGGTAATGCACAGTTAGACGACTACTCATATGATAGACCTTTCCTTGAGAAAATTCACTTCAATACAACATCTACAAAAGGGAATCTTCAACTACTTTCAGTTTCATCCCTCTTGTTCAAGAATTGATGACCGGTTTAACAACATAATTATGCTCAAAAGTCCAGTTTGGTGCACATCAGAAACATTAAACATTAGAATGGACGCAGTATGAGGACAGAAATAATGAACAACTTCAGTTACTTTATATTTACCATTACTAACAAGTTTAAGTGCAAAAGTAAAAGCATGCATCCTTATTACTTACATTTACACAAACAAAATTGTAGCACTGTCCTGAAAAGATGCTTTGTAAATGGCTGTCATTTCTGTTTTGAGATATTGATACAGTTTCAACCTGAAGAGACAAAAAAAGTCACAAATTTTACTTCAAGCCTTAACTCTCTGTTAAAGCTTCCACTATTACGGCAGAGTTTGTTCATTCAAATTATTCAGAAATGGCAATTATAATTTCCACCACAAGAACTGAAATTTGCTCAGATTTTTAGATGACTCAACAGTAACGCATGGGGCCCAACCTGTGCTGAAGCATACTGCCAGGGAAACAGCAGAAGCAGCCCTGGAAGCATCAGACACAAGTGCTGCTGCCTGGGTTAGGACGTTCAATTCTTATAGGATCAGGATGACCTAATGATTTTAGATCTCTAATTTTGAGAAAAATCTCTATAATATTCAAATATCTAGGTATTTTGCCTTCATGAAGCTAAAAATAAAATACATTAAGTATGCATGAAAGACCAGGTAAACTGGTATTGGTATTCTAGGATACAAGAAGACTCATCTAGAGTTTCTTCTGAAAATATTTCCTCAGTGAATTCTCTAAAATACTGTCTTAATCAGACACACTTATTTTGCAGCCTTTGACACAAGCTACAAAACGATCTTATTCTAGTGTATTACATAAAATGTAGATTGTACTACATTATCAGCCTCAGGATTGCCTTAAGTAAAACATCAAATCAGGTAGTAGAGGGGGGATTTGTTCCCCAAAAGAAGATAACAATTTGAAGCAAGTAAAAAAATTTTAAAAAAGTTATATTGCTTCTAATAAACCAGCAAACCCCTTGTTCCACTGCTCATCTGAGCTTTTCTGGTCAAAAGACATATTATATATCACATCAAATGACAGAAGAAATACACTGCTGTATTCCCTCGAAATGTCACTTAATCCACACTCCAACAGAAATACCAAATACAACATTTAAAATGGCTTTACAATATTATCTAAAGCTGTATTTGTTTATTTTTTTAATACTCAGAGAGTTTACTTTTTGCAAAGGAAGGTGATTTCAAACCCAAAAGTTGATATTTATGTTCTAAGGATTTCAGAAACATTTTAGGTTGAAAATTGGATAACATTCCAGATAGTTGACATTTATTATTTTAAGAAGTTTAAAAAAAAAATCACAGAAGGTATGAATTACTTAAAAATACTTGAAAAATGCAATACTCCAGGCTCTCCTGGCTTGAATCTCTGCAGATGTAAAATCAGAAATTCATGGTACCTTTACAACCTTGCATATACTTTGAGGAACAGGAGCACACTGCATGCCAAGTCTTTTCAGAAGGTATTTGAAACGTGACCCAAGGCAGAAGGCCTACTTTTATTTTTTTAATTTGAGACATAATAATATATGATGCTAAAGTATTCCTGAACATTTAAAAATTCATATAGTCTATCAGAATTTTGATTTAACGTCACTAAACTGATAAAGTAGCAAACTAAGAATTTTTTTACAGACATATTTTCCAGGAAAAAATACATCAAATTCCTCTGTTGGAAAAGAAAGCATAGCTGCCTAATTAGAAGCTTCAATAAATCATCAATTAACTAAAATTAATTTTCTTATTCTATTTGGCATCTTAGTATCCTATGCAGAAGTACTTTTTAAAATTAAAATTCATATTACTCAGTTATTAGCTACTTGAGAGAGCAAAAATTACCCAAAAATACCACCTCGGTAAAAAGTGATTGTCACATAATGTTTCAATGTTTAAATAGAAAAGAACATATGGATTTGCTTAATTACTTCTGGTCCTTGTACCAACTGATATTCAGCTTGTTCAAGAAGCAAAGATGGCAAAAATATGAAGACAGGAATTATAAATATGTTTTCTTTAATGTTTTTTCTACTTATCAGATAGATGCCCTCTGCTGAAGTTTCAACTTTATTCAGCATCCACTTTCATAAAATCTAACACTAATCCCGGGACATGGGGAAGCTGTAAAAGTTATTTAAACTATATCAGAATTTAAAATTACAATTAATACTAATCCAGCAGATGCAATCAATAACAAATTATTGAATTCCTACTAGTGAAATGCTAGTTCCTTTTCTACCTGAAAAACAACCAGATATTTTTATATGCTGCTTGTGGATATTTATCCATTCACAAAAATAACACACAACTTCATCCAGTTGATTACATTTCATGTGACAGCAGCACCTTGTCACTGAAAAAGCAGGAATAATTTCCAATACCAGAAAAAAAGACCTTCAGCCCCCATTTAGGTTTCTTTGCTTTAAAAGAAAGGGATAAATAACAACCTTAAGGAAAGATTCAAGTTACGTCTTTCAAAGTAACATACCTTAAGCAAAATATTCATTCCTTAGTTATACTGCTTAGAATAAATGTGATTAAAACACTCTTAAAGTACTTTGCAAGCAATAACTGTTGCCTTAAAAATTTTTTTTAGAAAAGCTTTTATTTTCATTTCCTTTATCAGTTCAATGTTTAGGTCTTTTTTCCTCCTGCTGTTGGCATTATCATGTTATTAGAGTCTCTCAGAAATCCCTCTAACAAAATTTCTTTTAAATTCTTCTTTAAAGATACATATAGGAGTTAAGAAACATCTCAAAAGTAAATATGGCTGCTACTAAGAATTAGTGTCAAAACTGGCTAAAATGTTAAAATTAATTTATTTTAAATTTCAGATAATATGTACTTTACTGAATGATTCCAAATTGGTCTATTGTTTAGATCAATTACCCTCCAATTTGCCATTTGAATAGGCCCAGCTTTCAGTGCAGTACATTTAACTTGCTTAAAATAATTATCACACTGCACAAAATGAAATATCTCTCTCTCACAAGATTACAGTGCTTCATTTAAGAAATCATAGGCCAGTGGATATCATAGAATCATAGAATGGTCTGGGTTGGAAGGGACCTTAAAGATCATCTCATTCCAACCACCCCACCATGGGCAGGCACCATTTCCACTAGATCAGGATGCTCAATGCTCCATCCAACTTGGCCTTAAACAGTTCCAGGGATGAGATAGATATCCACAACTTCTCTGGGTAACCTGTTCCAGTGCCTCTCCACCCTCACATTAAAGCATATATCTAACCTAGATTTTCCCTTATCCAGTTTTTACCAATTACTCCTTGTGCTATCACTGCAGTTCCTGACAAAGAATCCCTCGCTGGCTTCTCTGCAGGTCCCCTGCACATACTGGAAGGTTGCTATGAGGTCTCCACACAACCTTCTCTTCTCCAAGCTGAACAGCCCCAACTTTCTCAGCTTGTCTTTGTAGGGGAGGTGCTCTAGCCCCCTTATCAACTTTGTGACCCTTCTCTGAACTTGCTCCAATAGTTCCATGTGCTTCTTATGTTGCGGGTATCAGAAATGTGAGCCCAATGCAGAATTCCTTCTATGGTTAGGAGTTCTGTATATTGATAAGCTCTGCAATTTTATTGTTTAAAAACACGACAATACACAATTTTTATAGATTTTAACCCTAAGGCTTCATTAAATGAATAATGAAGGATGTTTCAAGAAACAGTGCTAGAAATCAACTAAATAAACCAATTTAATAGAGCCATTAAAAAAAAAACCAGTCCTATATCAGTAGGAATCCCTTCAATTTCATGTCCTCATTACCTTGTTTGAGTTCATTTTATATGTGTTTTATTCAAATGCACCATTAGGTTCAGGTGCCTGACTCACCCAATAATTAACCAGTTACAAAATGAAAATTTGGCAACATGTTGTAAATTCTAACTAGTTCTGATCTGAGGTTGTTAAGTTCAAAGTTACAGTGTTGGTTATCAAACATGACATATGCATTGATTTTTCCTACTGGCTTGGAAGTGCTACTCATGGTATGAACAAAGGGGGTTATATGCAACCATAATTAACAGATATAGATAAGTCAACACTTAAAGAAGTATATGAGTAAGTGATGTCTTCCCACTAATTGCAGAGTGGTTTACATGGAGAGAAAAAAGAAGAAATAGCAACAGAGCTGGCATCAGTGAAAGAGATACATACTTCTGCTCCATTATACAGTTATTCAGACAAAAAAAGGTCTTATTCAACTTTGTTAATGGTTTAAACTTACAAATATAGTATTTCATAGATATAAAGCATGATTCCATACTAAATATAATTGATTCCACACTAAACATAATTGTTTCTAAACAAAAACTGTAAGTGCAATGTCAAATTACATTTCTAGATATAAAACAGCAATACAGTTAGTATCCTCATTAGTCATTCTAGAATTAGTCATTTTAATAACTAAGTACACCATGCAGAAGATCAACACACATGAATACAATCATTACAGAAGTAATACTATGAAAATCAGGAAACCTGTGTTTTTGAATGACTATTCCCTGTCAGTTTCTCTGGGTAATAGGAAGATGTACTACCATCATGTAAGATACAACTAAAAATCACTCCAAGACCAGTCAAAATCTAACCAACTATCAAATGTTAATCACCTCTGGGAAAAATGGAAATATGATAGCTCTATTAGAAGGAATAATGAAAAAGGAAGAAGATAGTTAAATGACAGTAGAAAATTCCATCAGTATCCTAAAGCAAAGGCTTCCATGAGCATTCACTGTGAGTAAAATGTACCCCTAGGATTCTACAAAAAAGCTCATTAATTTGATTTTGCACTCGCAGCTCTGCAGGAAAACAACTTAGTCTTTAATTGGTTCAGACTTTAACTTCAAAGTAACAAAAGCATTTCCTCTGTAACATATTTGTAACAATTTGGGCTTACTGAATTCATAAAATCTAAAGAAAATTGCCTCTTTGTTGTCTGGATTCAATTTCTCCTCTAATCTAATATATACATTCTAAGTGGATCTGTAAGATCCCCTTCTACTGCATAACTGGGCAGAAGATGCTTCTTTCTTGGTAACTTCCACACCTGGTGCTAATCTCTTGTAATAAATACTACAGTGACACAGGAAGTCTCAGTTTCTGTATTCACATTATTTAGACCATTTCTTAAGAGTAATGGCAACCAGAAACGTTAAATTAATCATACAGTTGAAAGCCATACAGTTGTACTTACTTTTATTTGACTTTTCAGAGATTCAGGAAGGAGAAAACCAACTTGTGCAACAGTTTCATTTGCATCAGTAATAACACAAACTTCTTGTGAAAGGTTGTCTGTGATTGAGAAAAAAACCTTAGTATTTTATGCAAAAATAAATCAATCAAAGTTACCAATCTGCTAAACATTGCCTTCAATCCATATTGCTGTCTCTTGATAGAACCTTTTTAACTGCTGTAAATTTAAAGACTACTTATTTCAAGGCACAGTTAATCTAACTACATCATTTATATAACATACGTTTCAAATATTCAAGTTATATTTTTATGATTTTGCACAATGTGAAATCATCTCATGAGGCCTGTCCCCAAAGCCCATTTAAATAAGGGACTCCTCTTACAAGATATTTTTCAGGTTCACATTAATGGCACTAGATGACAATCAAGAAAACGTTTTTAAAAGTTCATATGACTTATCACTTCAACAGATCACTGAATGCAGTATCAGCAATAGTGAGAAAAGAAAAAAAAAAGGGGGGGCAAAAAACCCAGGGGATAGCATAAATTTGCTTCCCAACAATATGCACTACAAAATAGCCCCCAAAAAGTATATTGAAAATACTGTTCAGGGAGACAGCAGATATAACTATTCACCTCAGCTTCAAAGAGGCTGAAGAGAAGTGACAAAGATCTTGGAATGGCCAATGGCCTAAATCTTTTATTGGTGGGGGAAAATACAGTATTTTGTCGCTATCAAGTTACTGCCTGATCTGTTCTGCAAAGCCCATAGTTCCAAAAATTAGTATTTTCTCTGGTTATTGGCTACAGGTATTAGATTTGGTGAGCATTTTCCTTTCTTTAAGCAAACAAGTCAAAATAATTAAAGTCTGAAATTCTCAGCTGTAATTCAGAAATTTATCCTTTAAATGCTGAATTATTATGCAGAGTAAAATAAAGGGTTTCCAATGTTTTTGGGGTAGCTGCTGCATAAGCAAAGAGAAATTTCACAAATGTAAAGTCTAATTATGTTTAAAGCAGACTTCAATGAAACTTCAGGGACAGAAATATACCAAACACCACCACAAAATAAATTAGTAGTGAAAGACATAAGAGAAGTTATAAAAATATGGTCTAACTCCTCTTCAAACAAGTCTGAATATAAGGATACATATTTTTTGCATGTGGAAAGTTTTTTTATAATTACATACCACACAATAAGTTCATTCAGATGCATTACTTAAGTAAACAACTCACTTTCTACTGTAAACTCTAAGTCTTCTTTACAAAAATAGACATAAAGATCTGAAAATTAATTTTAAAGCTGTTGTAGAGTTAACATTATTGGAAAGTGTCTTCTACCTTTCAAAAAATTTTCTGTGAGCAGGAAAAGTGAATTAACCGCTGAGAATCCCAAAACATAATTAGAATGATTTTTTGAATCACAGGTATTTATTATGTTGAATATTTATAATGTGACAACAAAAACAGTGGTAGCAACTGACTTCATATTCAGTTAGCAAGAATGGGGAGGGAGGAGGAAAGAGAATAATCAACATCTGCTTATAAACCATCACAACCAGATGAAAGTGAGAATTAAAAAAATGCATGGCCAATTCTCACAGGACTGGAAATCACAGGATACCACAACTGTGGGAGAAATTATCTTCCCATAGATTCACGAGGCAAAAAAATTTATTGAACATGCATCACAGTTGTCTTCTACTTAATACAGAATAATTTTACTGTCTGAAAAATGGTTCAATAGGAAACCATATTGAATTAATTTCTTATCACCAGAAAGAAACCAGTGGGTAGATTTAAATCAGAGCAAGAGTCACTCGAATTTAGTACTGTATATGGAATGCAGATACAAGATAGATATACATAATAAGCCAGACTGGCATATCAGATTTCAAGAATTCAGATTCTATTGAACTAAGTAATTTAATGAAGAAGGTCAGATTGGAACTATTACAAAAATGCACATGTGGAAGAAGGTTGTGGAACCCCAAAAGGCACCATAACTTAGGCTCAGACAGTTCTTTTAAAAATAAGTCTGTAATCAACAGTAAGTGTCAAAAGTAATCTCACAAGAGGCTGCTCAAAGACTGAAGCTATAAAGACTCATTCCACTCCCTTCTCCAGCCCTCTTAGACCTCTAACTCCCTTCAACAAATGAGAGAGGCAATTACCAAAAAAGTGACTAAGATATTCAGGTAGGATTTAATAAAGACAAGAGAAAATTCAATGAAGTGTGGAAAAATGTATTTTCAGTCTGGAGAAGGAATGTAATGTTCCAAGGGGAAAGTCTATTATTAAAGTATGAGACCATTAAAATAATGATAATACACAAATTGAAAAGATACTGCATGCTTTTAAATGACCAATGAAGTGTACAAAGGAAGGCTGGGAAATCATCATTTGTAAAGTCAGCATAGTAAAGCAACAGTTATGTTCTAGTTGAGGTTTGAAACTCATCTCCCGTTTAAATCCAAACTATTTCAAGTGGTCAAAAAGGATCTCAGTGTTAATTTAGACAGTTTGTACCTTAGCTGCATTGAGGGAAGGAAGACTGAGTGGAACCTTCCTCCCCAAGACTGCCTGTGTCCCACCTCTGGTAAGTTGATGGAGCTCTGTCACTCAGTCTAATCACGGTTAACACAGCAAGCACATCTGGAGTGCTGGCTGGTAACTCCACGGATTCCATGAATTCTACTGCCTGACAGTAAAGCTAACTGCATGCAGCATTTCATTCCTGGTTTTCGGAATTCTATTTGAGTGAATAAAACAGCCATTTTGGAAAGACACCTCGTGGCCATGCCACAAAGAATTTTAATAGTCAGCTAAAGACATTTTGTTTTCCATCAGACCATGGATAATTGAGGCTGGAAGGGAACTCAGAAGGTCTCTAGTCCAAACTTCTCCTCAAAGCAGGATCATCCATGAGGTTAGGCCTGGTCACTCAATCCCTTGCCCCTCCCACACCTGAAAATCTTTGAAGACAGAGACTGCACAATGTCTCCAGGCAAACTGTTCATTGCTTAATTGTCCTCATGGTGAAAGAGCTTTTCCCTTTTATTGAGTTGGAACTTCACTTGGTTCAGTTTTTGTCTATTACCTTTTGTCCCCCTACAATGCACCACTGTTCTACTTTACTTCTCTACTTTCTGCCATAATTTCCTTGTCATCCACCAAACCATTTTTTTTTTGTTGTTCTTTTCTCACTATTGCATTACATATTAAACTCTCTATCTTGCTTTGGCTTCCTTGTCCTCTACTTACTTTAAATTATTATTTCCCTGGAAACCTCCTCTCCCAATACTCCTCTCAGCTTCTTTCCAGCTGTACCTGATTATGGAGTAATGCTCCCCATTCACATGGATCACATTTGATCTAATTCATCACTTTTAACATCCACTCAGGGCATATTTTTTGCGTAATATAAAAAATAGTTAAAACTTTGCACTGCCAAATTTAAACACTAAATTTCACTATCAGGAATTTCTTTTTTTCTTTCATTAAAGCTAAATCTGATAGAGAATTTCAGAATTTGTTCCACTACACCTCCTTCTTTTTTTCCTCCATCAGAAAAATTAATTTTCAAGTTTTCCATGCCCCTCTTTGATATCCTGATAAGGACCTGCCACGGTCTTTATCCTAGGATCCTACCCAATTAAACACACATTAAAATGTGTGCATGTTTATGGAACTAACTACCTTAGTTAGATAGTGTATTAAGTGTAGTGTAATGAAACACTTAAAAGTTTACCCCGAAAAGCATGCCACAAACAAGCAGCAATTAAAATAATGCTTTGTTTGAATAAAGATCATAAGTATCATATCCTAGGGAATTAATGCCATAAGAAAAAAATGCATCTGAATGGCAAATAGGTTTTAGCCTACAGACATAATTTTTTTCTCTTAATTGCACATATATCTGTATATATATACTTGTTTTTGCATACATATGCTCATACCACATCATTATTGTTCTGCCATTACAGTTCCTACTATTTTGGAAGCACATCCTACTTATCAAAATTTTGAAGTTTGCAGTGAATTCAAAGAAATAAAATAATTTACCAGAATCCCATTTTCACTTTTTACATAGCAATGGCTTGACTGGTCAATATGGTTCCCCCTGGCATCTTTAGAAATATTTTTGTTATGAGATGCTACCACTGTAAACCTAAGAAAAATTAAATTAATACTGCTGACCATTTAGTTCATTCCTGCTCAACAGAAGGAGTTTAAACTGTTATCCAAACAACATAGGTAACCAAAAATATATAACAATTTTTTTTTACCCACTCAACATGTTTCTGGAGCCCCAAAAACTAAAAATCAAACTTGACACTGCCCCTACCAATATTTGTATACAAGAAAGAAAGGAAGATTTTGTGGTAGAAGACAAGAAAGGGGGTTATTTCCTCCTGACAGTAACTATTCCAAGGAGCATCTCCTTACCTGCCAGTCTATTGCTTTGCCTCACAGCAGAGAACAGCCACTGGTTTATGAGCATGCCCATGAAAATGCAGCCTACCTCATGTAAGATCTCTGTCCTTTGATAAACAATGCTTACCTCAATTTTTATTTTTATAAAAAGTCACACAATTTCTTCACAGAACACAAATCATAATATGTAGTTCCCAAGAGTCATAAACAGTTTGAAAGCATTAAGATATTTTTCTTGGCACTTGCAAAAACATAATTGCACCTACATCAACAGACACTTCTTTAGCCAAATGTAAGGGTAAAATATCCAATTTGCAAGTCTCTTAAGAAAAAGTCATTGAAAAAGAAGGGCCCTTACAAAAAGGAGGAGAGACAGTCAAACTTAAGTTATAAACTTCTACTGAGAAGCACCATTTAAAGTTTACATGTTGGAACTAGAGTTCGAAGATACCTACCCTGAGGGCAGTAGTCCTAATGGAATTTTTTTAGGATGTTTTGTATTAACCTGATCTTAACTACATTTCTAGATGAGTCACACTTATTGTAAGACAATGTTTTCTTACTTCAAGACTATTAAAAATAGGCGTGTGCCACCTTGTCTGCATACTCTACAAGTTTATACCTGCTTAACTAAATAGAAGTATTACATTTGCTGTTTATAAAACAAATGATGTTAGGATTCCGACTTTCATAATAGGGTTATAAAAGAGACTGGAGGAAGTTAACAAATTATTAAGAAATGTTTTAAGAAAACAGTCTCAAAAAAAACCCTCATTAGTCTATTTACATTAGTGAAATGTTTCTTTGTATTGCCTTAAAAAAGAATTATATATATACATATAAATAGCTAAAGTACAAAAATGTCTTTAGGCATGTATGTTTTTCTTATTTCCATCTGAGTCAAGTTTAGCAAGGTGAGAGTTGTTGAACTGTTGAAGGAAACCAAAAGTTTCAATGACTAATAAATATAAACTGTAGATTACATGAAATTTGGAATTGTAGTCACAAAATTAAATGCATACACTCAAAAGTTCTTCATCACTACTGAATTCATCCAGTGATAACACGTGCACCTAGCACAGTAAATTGGGTAACTTGGTAAGAAAGAAATCAGTTGTGAAGACTGCAACAGTAGTGCGCATCTGGTGTGAGGCCCAAGCCCTTTGTACCCTACACCCTCCTAGCCCATACATTGAGGTTCTGGGACACCTACAGAGAACCCTGGCAGTAGGCAAGGTGGCGTTCCAAGAGCTCGTACTTTCCAACTCTGCTTCACAGAGTCATGCAGGACTTCTCCTTCAGGCTCTCTACATGGAACAGAAGGGGAATGACAAGTAGGAATGCATCATTTACAAGAGCTCTACCTTAATCATCATGATGGCCCTTTGCACGACTGTCTCCAGAATGATCATGTCTTTCCTGCTGGGGGAACCCAACACTCCAAATGTGACCTCACCAGTGCTGAGCAGAGGGGAATAGCTAGGAGCGTGGAACCTCTAAGAATCCTATACAAAACAATATTTTCAAAAATTCCAGGCTTCTAGCTATAAAGACAGAAGCTCCTCATTTCCTGTCAGAACCAGAACTTCCAAGGCTTCACAGCCCTTTCTTCTTTTGTGCCTAAAAAACTCAGTCAGGTGGTTCTAAAAATGCATATAATATGTGGTCTTCGCCTACTATAATAACCAAAAACTTCAAACATTGCATACCTGGAGGTCTAGATAAGCAGCATAAGAGAATACCACAGCAATGTCTGAGCTCTGTTTAAGCTTTCTGGTTTGTCTGCAGTGACAGAGCCGGTCTCAGCATGGCCTGATTTACCCAAATCAGAAGCTAAACCATTATGGGACCTTGTAACAACAGGTGAGACATCGAAGTGAACAATGTTCACTTGATGTCAATGAGCCAGTCACTCACCATGCCCTAATAGCACACAGGTTTTGGTCTAGTTTTCTTAAACAGGAACTACATTCTTTTCTCTGGAAAGGTATTTTTAATCCCAAGGTAAGTCCCTTTCTCTTCTTCAGTTTCTGCGGTTTTATCCCTCGGTTCTCAACAAGGAGTCAGGTAAGAGTCCATCGAATCACTGTTTATCAGTTTACAATAACCATGCGTGTGCTCATTAACCATGCAGTACTTGGCAATTCTTCCTTTCTATATTGACTCATTCTAAAAACAATCTAGATAAAGGCTAAATCCAGTCTTTATGTTGAACTGCTATGAAACCACTGTTACTAGTACATAAAAATGTTAAAAAACAGTTCAACAAAATACTTATAAATTAATGAAATAGTTCAATATCATATAGTTGATGTATTAATTTAGGTAACAACTGGCTGTAAGACAGTAAAGAGCCCTAAAGAGTTAATGTTTAATTTTCAGTCTACTACTTAGATGAGAAAGATGGAACATTTTCAGAATTGATCTGCAAAGCAAAGAAAAAAATAAATTGTTTATTCCTTATAAAGCCATTCAAAATTAATCTCTGTTTGACTGTAATATACACAGCTTTTTATAAGGTTCTCTATTCTAAGTGAAGTAAATAAAGGTAAATATGCATAATACAAGTATTCCAGTGAACAAGCTAAAACAACTTGCCTCAGCACATTTCATCCATCACAAAACCTTCCTTAATGACATTTCAAATTATAGCACACAAGATTCTTAATTAGACTCAGGAATATGCAAACTGACAGTCACAAGGACAAACACATACCCTTAATAATCGATTCAGCTGCATACAGATCCCGCTTGTAGGTCACCTAAAGGACAGACAAGCCTCATTAGTTTTAACCCAGCAGGAAGGAATGCAAAACCAATAAAACAATGCCCTGAAGGCAATTCTTTACATTTTAAATACCATAAACAAATGATATTGTCAATTTCTTAATTTTGGTAAAATACCACTGGCAAGTTATGAGAACAGAGGTTGCCAAAATTACTGGAGACTTGAGGAAACCTTTTTTTAAATACTTAAATCTGCTTACAACTCATTTGAAACCTAAAACTGTTTTCAGTTCTTTGAAGAATCATGAACACATGATATTGCATCTATTTTCACACATTCATTTTTCTCTAATTTTATTGCCAAAAAAATTCACTTTTAATAGGACTTGAGATCATACAAATGACAAACAAGGAGCAATCCAGTTATTATTTTTACTAATATAGGTGCAATTTTTCAGTAGTGCAAGACAATTACTGTTAATGAGAGTCCAATTAATCAGTGGGAGTCAGTGATCAGAAAGGAGGCTTTGAGTGAGCTTTCAGAGAATTAAAAACCAGCAAGATCTTCTTGAAGGTATTCGTCAGATCAAGTTAGATGGACAATAAGATGCTGAGTATTTACCTGGTACTTGCAAAAAACACCTTTAATATCTGCCTTTGTACCCTCATGGTGGCTGACAGCTTTGCAATTAAAGTAATGGAAAATTAAAGACAGCACCTATCCAAGACATTACCAGTCTTTGCTAGCAATCTCTTCACAATGACATACAGTGACTTGTACTGACATAACTCTTTAATAATTGTATTTGGTTTTACTGTAACTTCCTTTTATGTTAAATAAAATTTTATTGGATTTTCTGCATTTGTTTCCCTAGAGTCCGAAGAACCTTTTTTCTCAAAATGACCTGCATAGGATGGATTCCTCTTTGCAGCTCTAGTGCTGCAAAGTAAATCTTACAGCAGAAGGACACCACTGTACGTATCAGCATCTCAGTCTCCAAATAAGTGATTTTTTGATTTTACCATAAAGATTCTTGTAGCCATTTTTCTTTTGATCTCAATAATGAAGCTCTGTATTGTAGTCAGAAACAGACAAATAATATTACCTTCCTCATCACTTCCCCAAGGTATTATATTCTTTTTAAATTAAAAACTTACTTCCATACAGTTTGTCCTGCAGAGGATGCAGCCAGAGAATGAATCTAGCCTGAGAAATCGTAGGTGTCTGAGTTTACATACAAACATTTACATGTCTACTTACTGTTGGGAAGAATCAAGGTCTTGAAATTAATTTTAAGGATAAGGAGTGACTAATTTTGTTGCAAAGTTTCTTTATATTAAGTTTTCAGAGAGCTTTTACACTGAACTTTCAGTAAAGTGTAACAGATTATCAACTAAAAACCTTTCAAGAAATAAAACTAAGGTCTATCAGAAATGGTCTCACATACTCTAAGGTTCACAATCTCTTTGAGGTGCAAAAGTACTTTTAAATAGTCTGATTTAAAAAAAAAAAAATTAGGTACAGTCTTCAAGAAAACAGCAGAAAAGAATAAAAAAGTAAGAATGAACCTTTAAAAAAATCCCCTCTGAAATTCTGAGCCAGACATCAGTAAATACTTTTTAGAGTGGCTTCCTAAAGAAATAAATCATCTGAGACTGTATCCCATTCTCCATATGTATTTCTTTTATTATCTTTGATCCTATAAGCTAATTTCAGTTTAAGCTTTAAGAACATAGTAAAGTTGACAGAAAAATCCTGCCAGACAGCATAGGTGACCATCATTTACCAGTCGGGGAGGGAGAGATTCTCTACCCTCCTTTCAATAATGACTAAGATGCTAAATCAAACCAAAGTTTCTCTTGAATATTCACAGTGCTTCTGGATTTTCTTGTGTTGATTAAGACATGTTCTTGCAATTTAGCTAATACTTATTCAAAGAAGCAGACAAAAGGGCAGATACACCCTTTGGTTTAAATCAAACCACTGATTATTTTAGTATGAATGTGCTTCAAACAATTTAGGAGATTAGTCAACACAACAGTTAATTGTCCTGGGCAGCTGTACTGTTTTACCTCTAGTTTCACTAAAGAGGATTTGCATTCTAGGTTCACCCCAGCTGGAAGCAATTTAGACTTAGCCAAATCAATGAGGAAGAATACTTTGACACTCTTTACCAGAAAGTAAGGTAGCATTATTCACTCTTCACAGGTGAGGTGCAAAAAATCATGGCAGGGGAAAGCGCATGGGGGAGAAGCAAAGCAAGAAAAACGGTGCATGGAATTTCTCTTTGTAGAAGACAGATTTCTACTTCATCCATTTCTGCCTTTCTTCTATTGCATTACTAATCTAAATCTCTACATAGTTATAAAATTTAATCTTTTTTTTTCAGACTCATCTCTGAACACTCCCTACTTATCAACAGTTGCTCAGAGCCTGAACCTGGATTTTACTATAGTATTCTAGATGCATTCGTAATACTAGAACATCTCTAATTTCATATTCTTGTTTCTATATCAATGGTTGACATAAAATATTTTGCCCATATATAGTGAAAACTTGCTATCCTCTGTGATTTCTAAACCACTTTCAAAGTCACTGCCTTCCAAGAACAATTCTCTAAATAAGATCTATACTTGGTTTGTTTCTAAAAACACTTCTATATATTTGGATGCAATGAAAAGAATACCTTTTGTTTAAACTATTTGCTATACAATCCTTATCAATAGGTTACTTCTGATTAATTATATTTTTATTTACAAATCATTAAATCATTGTCTGCAAAGTTTATCAGACAGATATTAAATACCTTAAAGACAATAACAGTTTCTACAGAACTGTATATGGTAAGAATTGTCTTTTGAAATGTATCAATTATCTAATGTTTCATCTATTTAATGAGAACTAGTACAACTACAGTCATCCTTTTATTAATTAAGATATAATGCAGTAACAAGTCAAACTTCTGCCAACTGTGTGTTGTATCAGTATTACTATCTTTATCAGTCAAAATCATCATCTTGTAATAAAGTCTTGAAGTCAATTTCACAAAATAAGTAAATTCCATGTTGGTTGACATTAATTGCATTAGTTCCTTAACTCTTTATTAATCAAGTTTTGCCCATGGAAGCATACCCTTTTGTTTTCTTGATCAATATCAAACTTACAGGCTTCTAATAACTCAGATTCTCACTCCTCACGTGACAATACTATTATTCATTTTTTCCTCTTGAGCGTCCCATGTTCCAAGATTTTCAGAATGTTGTTGATGCAATTCAGAATATCACATTCTGAAATTCAGAATATCAATTCAGAATATCTTGACCAAATACTAGAACTCAACACAAATACCTCAGTCACAGAACATGAAAACATGACCTGCTTATTTAGCAAAGGCAGAATAGTCTTACTTATTAAATATATCTCTACTTTTCTGTATAATAAACAATCTATTTTATCTATTTAATAAAGCCTCAAAATCATGAGATAAGAGGTTTTTTTGTTTTGTTTTCCCCTGTACCCTTCTCTCTCAACTGTCATACTACAAATTTTCACTACCTAAGATGTTGTTTTAAAAGTTCCCCAAAGTTATTCCTATTCAATATTTAAAAGTCTTCTTCGTACTAATTTAGGTTGATGAACACTTCAGATTTACAAAACTGTACAGTAAATGCAAAAATATAACTCTTTACTGAACAAATACAATAAAGTTATGATCGCACATACACAAACTACTGCATTTTAGCTTAATGAAGCTTTCCCCCTCCCTTATACTAAGATATCATACAGATCTCCTTCATATGGAATACTTTTGTAGGATTATAAAATAATCTTGTTTTTTAGAAATGGTGAGGATTTTTTGCTCTGTCAGCATTAAGTCTATAAATCCATGTCAATATTTTAAAAACGTTCTTACACTGATTTTTTCATCTGTGTTATACACACATATATATATTAGAGTCCAACAAATACATTCTGTTGATTTCATACTTAAAGAGCATATTGCCCCAGAATATTTAAGGTAATTTTGCTTCAAAGGTGGCAAGCACAGAGAAACTGAAAATGTGGTATTGATATTCTCATTCTGTTTCCTTTTTTTTTTTTTTTTGCCATCTGGATCCCAATATCTTATAAATAGCTATGTAATAACCACTTTTAAAATAGAACATATAAATATTTATAACACTGAAGTAATTTGAATGTTCCTGCTTGGTTGTTGTCACTATAAAGAATTATTTTAATTTTGCAATTTGTTCCCAGAAAGTAAATACACTATGTCTTGCTTTAGCTCCAATGATGACTTTGAAATGTTCCTTTTCCTAATGTACAAGTAGACAGTGCTCAGGTAGAATAATCAGTATTAATTCAAGAAGACAACATATAAGCAGACACAACTTTTTCCCACAGGTTTGAGTCATTTACTGTTATGTAGCTTGTGCACTTAGTAAATAAACTGAATTCTTACAAATATCTAATCTGCACTTTAAAGATTCAAGATCCTCATAGGATGAAACTGGTTTGTAATACTTGAACTTTAGAAACTATCCTCCACCTGTTAAATGATGACAGATTTTCAGTTACGCATCCTCTGAAACTTTAACTGAACAATTATTTGTTTCAGTTCTTATTTATCTAGATGGAATATCCTTTTGCCTCATGTTGAAAAAATAAGAGTGGGGCCATTGGGAGGACATCAGTTCTTGGCATATGAAATACCATTTATCTCAGCATTGAAAAACCTAACAAAAGAAAACAAAAATATATTACAGCTAAGGAAAGACAGTTGTGTTTCTGAAGCATGATTAGTAACAAAGAGCAACAGTTCCTAACTATTCTGTAGGCAAGGACCACTTGAGAAAAGTGTCAGTCTTGTGCACTTTGTCAAACTGCACAGACTGAGCACAACTGTTCTCTTCCTGAATGGTATTGCTCCAAGTCACCTGCCAAACACCTCGGTACAGACTGACCAACACCTGGCTGCTATTCAAAAAGAAGAAGCTATCTTCCTCCATAGTTTCTAATCTAATAAAAGTATTTTCTGCAAAAACAATGCAATATTTCACAGACCTTCTCATTCTTATGCCTTTGCCTTTTAATGTCTCCACTAGCGGCAGAAGACATCAATGACTTTTAGCTACAAAATCAGACACGGAATAGTGTATGAGAAGGTACAGATACTATAATGACACAGCACCAGCACCTTTGTGCATACCATATACAGCACATTCACTGCTCTGCACCACCTGCAGCACAGGATCTGCACAGAAATGGGTGCCCTTGCTACGGTCACACTCTGACAACACTGTCAGCACTGGGACTCTTTGGTGGGTGACCTTGGTTGGACCCCAGGTGTCCACCAAAGCCACTCTGTCACTCCCCTCTTCAACTGGATAGGGGAGAGGAAAATCAAACACAAAGAGCCCAGCAGAGGGCTGCTAAGCTGGTGTGAGAGAACTTGGCTTGTTCGGCCCAAAGAACAGAAGGACAGGGTGGGGAAGGGCCAGACAGAACTAAACAAACATTTTATAAAGAGCTAAGTGAACACTATTGGTGTATTTTGTTACCCTTCATGTAAGTATCATGCCTTAAAATGAGACCAATGAAACCACCCAAAAAATTATGTCAGGTAAATATGCATGACATAATCTCTCCTTTAGAAGACTAAATAGGAAAAGAGACCATATACTGTTTCAAAAAGACTATGTCCCAGCAAGGTATTGGAAGAAGTTTCTGTATTCAACCAATGCACAAGTAAATTTTGCTGTTAAATTGCACAGGAAATTTGCACTGCAGACTCAGGAAATTACCTTTCTTTTTAAGATTTATGGTCATACTATTAGAAATCATGTCCCTTTGGAGGAAATTTACTGTCAAAGAGAGATGGAGTGATTTGAGTTGCTTCCAGATCCTTCAATGTGGTAATGAATAAAATAAAATAAACTCTTAAAAATTCCATGACACAATAGCTACTGAGAAAGAATAATGTCCCACCACTCAAAACAATGAAATGCAATACTTTCAAGCAGCAGGGATATATACTTTGGCACCTCTACACACACCTGCTTTGTTAGTCATCAGGAACCTACAGATTACCAGACAAGGTGAATGATATTTAACAATTTTTTAAAGATTTTTTAAAGAGATCTTAAATATTACACTGTTACTGCATGTAATGAACTGCTCTAAAAAATTGGTGATAGCCAGGTATTTGGCATCAGAGAAAGAGTGATATCCTCATAGGAAAATTGGAGAGAAATAGACAAAAGTTACAGAAGTAGCAGGAGAAAGTTCATATCATAAAATAATGTTTCTAGTTTTGGAGACTATGGATTTATAATTTTACAGATTGTCAGATTATTCAAATACCTAGTTGGTTTTCCTACTTAAGAGAAAAATACTGTCTTCATTGATTATCTCCTGTTATATCTGCCCATGTCTGTCTATAAAAACAAGTTCTAAAAAGAGGTCATGATGATACAAAACCAATTATAAAATTTGGAAGAGAAAAACCTGACTTACAATTGAAAACACACCTGAATTTTTATAGTAATATGCAAATTTTATTAATTTTAAATTATATATAAAAACTAGATATTATTATTGCCTTTACCTTCCAGAGGTCAGCTGTTCCTTCAACAAGTTTGGCATTTGTTTTACAGTATTTCAGAGCCAGATGCAAACATTCAGTTCCATAATCCAGGTCATAGTCTGTACACTGTAGTAATTAAAAAAGAAAAAAACATCCTTAATTAGCCTTAAAGAAATTATACTTTTAAGCTGTAACAGATTTGCTTTCATTAATTAAACCTTAGATCTCAACAGTCCTATCTGGAATAATACATCTGTATTAGGTAGGTAGGTTCAGAATGGACTAGAAATAAATAAAAACGGTTCCAAGAAGATCCTGCCAAATTGTAGCTATCCAGATAAGTATTACATAAGTAAATAAACATTTTATAAGCACAGATGAATTCAATTAGGTGCTGCAAGTATTTTGCTAAACCTTTACACTGTTAACTAAATTAATAAGAAGTTACATGTATAAAAAAAATTTCTGATGGAGTTGAGGGAGGCTTGACCAAAAGACATCCTTGATGTTCCAGTGACAAACCTTTAAAGTACGGAAACAAGTTAATAAACTCATGACTTTTCAAAGCATGACTTCAAATTCCATGTCTGCGTTGGTTGCTGCATCATCAAAAAAAGGATGGTGGTAACTATGAACCTCTGTATTCTTTATGTGATTCCCTCTATCTTTTTTTTCCAGTTAGCTGCACAAAAATAGCAACATCTCATGGTGCTTCATGAGCCTTGCAGGGAAAAAAAAAAAAAAAACCAAACACAAAAAAACCCCAAACAGCTTAAAAAAAAGTTTGCCCACTTTTCATTCACTTCGAAAAACCATTATTCTCTCAACACACCCTTCCCAAGCTGTTCAGCTTCCTATAAGTACTGATTATAAGACTCCTATTAATGAATAACTAAGTTGGGAGCAGAATCTCCTGAGCCAAAACACAGGTAAAAATGCAGGAACAGTATCCAGTCTCTAATAGAGAGTGAATAGCCAACAGTAAGTAAGAACAAGGCAATCATATCTTGTTATTTTCCCAGAATACTCCCTTGGCCCCATATAAAGCTATTATTCTGTCTTCGGAAATCCTTAAAATAAAAAGTCCCTGAGGGACCCACTGAACCAGAAGTGACTGCCTTAACAGTGTTCAGTGAATTACAGGAATCCTGAATTCACCCAATTATTTTTTGAATAGCAGTATTTTTTTAGCAGCTGCATCAGGGCGCATCTGATTCATCACTCTTTTCATCACATGCTCTGTTGTTCTCACTGAAAAGGGAGTGCAAACCCACCTTCTCAGCCCTTCAAAATGCTCCACCACATCTCTTCTCACATCTTCCCACACATAAAGACATCAACATCTATTCAGTCATTTCATGTGTGGAAGTTTTACAAAACTTTGTAAAGGAGGGCAAAAGGGTTGATCATTTATCTGCACTTACCTATGAATTTTATAATAACATTCTTCTAAAAACCTTCTTAGTCAGTCCTCATCTCTAGTAAACAGAAAAAAAAATGGCTATCTCCACTTTCTGTTCCAAATTATTTATGAACAAAATAAAGGTGCAGGTCTCGACACCAGCCATCATAAAACTCCACCGGTGGTTACTGCTAAGAGAACTGCTCATGCACTTTACCTTGTTTCTTATCTTCTGACAAATAATCTACTCTGGTAAATATTTACTCTTATCCCAAATCTTTTTAAGTTTCCTTAAAGAGTCTTTAGTAAAAGCTTCAGTGGAACATCTTGTTATGCAAGTAGGTTGTTATCAGCTTCAGCAACCTCAAACAAGATGTCATTCTCTAAGGAGTTAACTGGCAACTAGCTCTGCAATACATAAGCTTTCCTTTACAGAAGCTGAAATAACCCTTTCACTGTGTCAAATTTACCATGTGTCTGTAAATTTATATTTTGAAGATACCAGTAATTTCCAGTCTCCTCCAGGATTCAAGAATTCAAAGTGGTCAAGAATGTAAAAACCTGAGTTAAAGAAGAACCAAATGAGAGTGCTTCAATACAACTTGACCTTTTTTTTATTAATTTCCTCAACAAGTTTAATGAAACAGATGAAGGACATATTTTTAGGTTTTATTCTTGTTTTATAGTGCATCAGTGATATTCAAAGAATTCATCAGCACTAAACATCTGAATTGTATTACTAACACACATAGACATCTTACAAAAATCAGTTATCACCTTTACATTATTGAAATTAGTAATTGTTGTCATTTTAGTTTGTCAGCCCACTTAGAAAAGCAATTTAAATGCTATAGTTCTCTACAGAAGTCTTCAAGCACTTTGAATTACAAAATAAAAGAGACACAAGATGACAGAATAACTTAGAAAAGGGTTTCATAAAGACACTTTGGAATATTATAAAATTAAGCAGAAATTATCTATAGTCTTTAAATAAACAAAATATACAAAAATATATGAAAAAGTTCAACAGAAAGTATAAAGGAATAGGGAACTCTAGCTCCAAAATATATAAAATGCAAGAATCCCTCAAGTAAAGAGGTCCAGAGATAAAGTGCCAATAAACCCAGAAATGGCCTCTCAATTCTCTATATTTGTTACTAAAATTGCTCTTTTGTTTTGTTTTGAAGGAAAATTTTCTATTGTCTATTAACGTGAATAACATACAGATTAAAAAAAACCCTATATATTTTTATTTAACTTCAAAATGGAAGAGAAAAATTCAGAAAAAATTAGCTGTGAAAGAATTTATTTTTAATTAACGTTAAGTTACATCATTTTAATGTACAGGTAATGAATGCAACTAGGACAAAACTAAGCAACTCCAACTTTTTGGCAAGATATTAATTACAGATAATTAGTTGGGAGTGGAGAAATTCCACAAATGGGCTAAAGCATCTTGAGGGTATTGCCGGCTCCAAGGGATGAAATACGACACAAAGCAGAGTAATAATTAAAACCATATTTCACTAACACTTGTATATCATGACATTTACCACTCTTATTATCTGTAATTGTTTCAACCTAAACACATTGTCAGAGTGTACTGTTCTGCGAGTCTGATATGCTGATGTCAGAAGAGGACAATGAAATATCAGCACAAGAACAGCTTAGTTAATATACCATTCATATGCTAAACAGCTTCACAAGTGAAATTTTAAATCCATATTTACAGTGCACAATTCAAAATCTTCTATGTTGCTCTAAGAAATTCAGTTAACAAATTAAGCATTATTAGCGAGCTATAAAAATAAGTTGTGCATCGAGGCACAGCATCATCAGTCAGTCAAGGGAGGTGACTGTCCCGCTCTGCTCTGCCTTGGTGCGGCCTCACCATGAGTGCTGTGGGCAGTTTTGAGTACCACAATGTAAGAAAGATATAAAGCTATTGCAAAGTGCTGAAAGGAGGGCTACAAAGATAGCAAAGGGCCTAGAGAGAGGCCATATGAGGTCACTTGTCTTATTCAGACTGGAGAAGAGAAGCCTGAGGAGAGACCTCATTGTAGTCTACAGCTTCCTCATGAGGGGAAGCAGAGGCCCAGGCACTGATCTCTTCTCTTTGGTGACCACTGACAAGCCTTAAGGAAATGTCAGGGGAGTTTTAAGTTAGATATTAGGAAAAGGTTTTTCACCCAGAGGGAAGGAACAGGTTCCCCAGGGAAGTGGTCACAGCACCAAGCCTGACAGAGCTCCAGAAGCATTTGGACACACTCTTGGGCATATGGTGTGATTCTTGGGATTGTTCTTTGCAGGGCCAGGAGTAGGACTCAGTGACCCATGTGGTTCACTTTCAACTCAGGCTATTCTATGATTCTATAAAAATTCCAGAATATCTGTGAGGAAAATTCTTACTGGCCCAGTTGTGCAACCGTTCTCATCCTAAGTCTTCTGTACTATTTTAGTGTACATCTAGAGTCAATTTACAATACAAAAATCTGTTTAAAAGTCCTACTATTTCTAAAGTCTCTTAATGACTGAAAGCCTTTTTAACATAAAGTTTGACAGTGTACAGTTAACTGTATTTGACATGCACACATAGCTTTGTGAAACAATAGACATAGTTTAAGTTTCAGACCACAGATTTGAAATGGTGGAAACAGCTGGAAATATTGGCACAAAACATATTCACAAAAGAAAGAAAACTACTAGTTTAGCTCTTTAAATGACACAGAAGAAAATATGTTATTTAAAAATGCTTTTGTACTGTAGAATATTCAGTGGCATTCTAATAGGTGTTTTGGGAAACTTTTTGTGGGTGGCTTATTTGTTTATTTATTTTCCAAGAGTGGATGTTTGAATAAAATACTATGGGTGGAGAGAGATCCAGAACTTTAGCATTACACCAATTCTTCTTCCTCTTCCTCCAAAATTAGTTTGAGAATATTTTGAAAAAAAAAACCCTACTTCTTAAAATGCAAGGTATACTATTGTTACTTAGATGTAAACATGCAACAAGGGGTTAGAGAAAAGAGCAGCTGCTCTACAGCCTGTGTGTCCCTGGTACTTACTAATACTCCATATGCTCACTTGTTTCCAATACTCTGAACTCTACTTTAATGTATCTTTATACTGATAAGCATTTTGAATGGATATATAGAAACCAGTGACAGGACCCAAAGGAATGGCCTATACTTGTGTCAGGGGAGGTTTAGGTTGGATACCAGAAAAATTGTTCACCCAGAGGGTGGTGGAATGCTGGAAGGTGGTTGACTCCCCAGGGAAGTGGTCACAGCACCAAGTCTAACAGAGTTCAAGAAGTGTTTGGACAATACTCTCAGGCACATGGTGTGACCCCTGGGGACAGTCCTGTGCAGGGATAAGGGTTGGAGTCGATGATCCTTGTGGGTCTCTTCCAACTCAGCAGATTCTGTGATTCTGTAGTAACCACACAACAGAACAAGCATGGATGAAAAAAAAAAAAAAATCATTACAGCACTATCATCCCTTATCTTTTCATCATTCCTTAGTTTATAAAAAGGATGTAAAATCAATATTCTTTATGCATTAACTGAAAGAAAATCTTCGGATTTGCTCCTTTACACAGGTATCATTCAAGCCTGTATAGAGTCAGAATTTATACTTCTGTAACTACTGACTGTGTCATCTTTAGCACTTTTTCCACTGTCAGCAGGGTCTCCATTTTACTCTCCCACGGAAATCTATTCAA